CACACGGTGTGAAGTTCACACTGTGAACTACGCATTCCTTAATTCGATTAATTGTTCATAAAAACAATAAATGCCCTTCGTCGATCCTCTTGAGGGATTGTCCGATAACGACACCCGATCACGCTACCGGTTATCAAAGGAAGCTCTAGAAGGAAGCTCTAGCGCTGAGCTTCCTCTTAGAACTTCTGAGTTAGAAACCCGGAGTTAGTTGATTCCGAGTGAACATATTGAAAAGTTTGAAGTACGGATGTGTACAAGTGCGACAGAAGATCTTCTTCCGAAATTTTATCATTGCTGTAACGTAACGGGAAATGTGCATGCATTCGGGGCGAATCTACCAGGTTCAACCCTCGTACAGTGACGTTTTCTTCCTTTCTTGAAATTGTCACTTTCGGTTGTGGGGCGTAGCGACTATAATCTTCGTCGTGTCAAAAATGTCTGATTCAAACTCTGATTCCCTGATTCTCGAAAATACTCAAATTCAGTGGAATCACCCGAAAAATCAGCCTCATGAGCAAGGCATATTGAGTAAGAGTATTAATCAGCCAAAAAATCAACTTTAGATTCTCGAATCAGCTCAGAGATCCACATGTCCTCGCGATGATCCTGATTTTTCGCTCCAGAGTAAAAAATCAGTGAATCAGGGGTTATTACTCACCATCTGATTTTTTCATCTGAGTAAATACTCTGACTCACCTGTTGCATCAGGATCCGCATACGGCCCCTGATTTCCGATTTTGATTCAACTCACACCATGATTCACAAGTGTTGATTCAGATTCCGTATTCATGAGTAAGATTCATGATTCGTGAGTATGATTACTGATTCCAGATTCAGATTCAGGATTCGCGAGTACGATTCCTGATTCCTGATTTCGCTCAAGCGTTGATTTCGATTCTTGATTCAGAATCATGATTCCTGATTCAGAATCATGATTCCTGATTCAGAATCATACTCAGCCATTGATTCTGATTGTGAACCAATGAGTCAGAGTATTTACTCAACCCAGTGAGTAAGAACCATGATTCTAGATTTTTTCAACGTGATTGTGATTCAAAACTCATACTCGTGAGTATTTTACTCAACTCGAGAACGCCAAAGATTCAGAATCTGATTTTTACTCAGCGTGTGATTCCGAATCATACTCACGCCGTGAGTATCTCCATTTTTCCACGTTATTTTGCCTTGATTCGTACCGGGGGTCCGGACCCCCGGTACCAAACCCTGATTCTGATTCTCGACCTTGATTCACGACTTCAGCGCGCGCCACGGTAAACCTCCTCTGCTGCTTGCGATGGCTTAGGTGCTTAGAATGACCGTGCCGGGGGATAGAACCTCGGCTTTGATCAAGTGAAAGGGTATCCTTGACCAGTTGAGCTGTGAGATTATACAATATAAGACAGTGCAAGGAGGTATAGCTATACTATAGCGCACGTAGTGCATACAGGGTATCAGTATAACCCTGCCCGGGAATAGAACCCCTATTTCGAGCACGTGGAAGCACACCCTTAACCAGTTCAGCTATGGGATCACACGATACATAACGGTGGATGGAGGTTTAGCGCACGTAGTACATGCAACCACACGGTGTGAATTACGCATTCCTTAATTCAATCAATTATTCATAAAAACAATAAATGCCCTTCATCGATCCTCTTGAGGGATTGTCGGATTCCGAGTGAACATATTGAAAAGTTTGAAGTACGGATGTGTACACGTGCGACAAAAGATCTTCTTTCACAATTTTGTCATTGTTATAGCGGAACGGGAAATGCTCATGAATTTGGGGCGAATTTACCAGGTTCTACCCTCGCAAAGTGACATTTCCCTCCTTTCTTGAAAATGTCACTTTCGGATGTGGGGCGTAGCGACTATATTCTTCGTCTTGTCAAAAATGTCTGATCCAATCTCTGATTCCCTGATTCTCGAAAATACTCAGATTTAATGGAATCACCCGAAAAATCAGCCTCATGAGCAAGGCATATTGAGTAAGAGTATTAATCAGCCAAAAAATCAACTTTAGATTCGCGAATCAGCTCGGAGATTCACATATCATCGCGATGATCCTGATTTCTCGCTCCAGAGTAAAAAATCAGCGAATCAGGGGTTAATACTCACCATCTGATTTTTTCATCTGAGTAAATACTCTGACTCACCTGTTGCATCAGGATCCGCATACGGCCCCTGGACCAGTTGAGCTGTGAGATTATACAATATAAGACGATGCAAGGAGGTACAGGCTGTACCGTACAGCTATACTATAGCGCACGTAGTGCATACGGGGTATCAGTATGACCCTGCCCGGGAATAGAACCACTGTTTCGAGCACGTGGAAGCACACTCTTAACCAGTTAAGCTATGAATCACACGATACATAACGGTGGATGGAGGTTTAGCGCACGTAGTACATGCAACCACAAGGTGTGAATTACGCATTTTTTAATTTAATTAATTATTCATAAAAACAATAAATGCCCTTCATCGATCCTCTTGAGGGATAATAATATCGTATTTCTGGACAGCAAGGATCATGATGAATTTATGTAAGAAAGGAAGAAATTCTTATACTATTAGACTGATTAGTAGTAGTAGTAGTCATAGTAGTATCGGAGCTTTACTACTGAGGATGTTAGATCTTGGACGTGATTTGGATAGGTACAGCATTCGTTCAGTTCATGGACGACAGAACGTCACAAGAGGCGGGAGATAAGCTTTACACCAAAGTAGGGCTCGGGCTCAGTGAAGATACAAACATTTGGCTACCCTGCGCTCCTTTATCAAGGGCCATACACGTTGATGCAGGTTCAAAAACTCCACCAACTGTTGGTTACAGCTCCCAATGCCTTACCACGGAGCCATCGGAAGTTCAAGGTGCGCATGACTAATATCAGCGTCAAAGGCCTCACTGTAAAGTTAAAGGACTGATGATGATGATTCAGACTACGACTGAACAGATTCAAAGCCCCTCTGGCCCGATACTTGTTCAATCGCTTACACTGGACCTCAACCCGGGTTGTTGTATCGCTTTGATGGGACCTAGTAATAGCACTCCCACACGTTTCCTCAGCGTATGATCCATCAGGTGGGAGTGGCAAGTCGGCGCTCCTTCGTACACTTAATGGGACATGGCCGATATGTGAGTGGCTTTCGGTCACGTGTATCGTTATATGCAGTTTGCAGGCGTTGGTGAGCTGGCCCGTCCCAAACATGGGGTTGTACTAGTACCTCAGAAATTGTATATGCTGAGAGAGTCCAGCGCTAAGCAACAGATCGCGTAGGTTGCAGGTAGACGCCTAAAGAATTGCAAGAGGTTTACAGATATCCCGATGGCCCTCCAGAGAGCCCTGCTGACGAGGACAGAGTAGCTCAGTGCATGCGTATATGTGAGGAGCTGTTAGTAACCATCCTAGTATTGACTTATTGGTGTCACGCGAACTCGATAAGCTTTCTGGTCGCCACACGTTGTCCGAGGCGGAGCAGAGAAAGTCGTATTGGCTCGACTACTTTATCATAGACCAAAGTTCGCTCTCATTGATGACTGCTTGAGATGTAAGAATGATCGATTATTATATCGTCGGGTGACGTTCAAGATGAATATCATCTCTTCTTTGTAAGCTGGGGTGAATTGCACATTCAATATTAAGATTCTCGTTGATCCATTTATGTATTTATATTAACATCGCGTATAAAATATACTATATTCATTTAAAGAGTATGACGATAATATAATATAAATATTGAAGGATTTTGGAAAAAGTAAAACTTGCTCACTGGGACGGAACGTTGGCATTAGACAGGTCATACATCTATTCAAGGTACTGACTTGAAGCTCATTGGTGAAGTTATCTCTCTATTACGGCATGATGGTGGCTGTGGTGTTGTTATGGTCTGTTCAAAACCTGACATGGTACACTCGAACTTCTGTTTTCGGGCAATTCACAACTCCTATTCAGGTGGAGACGCTATCCCACTATGTGCAATTTGATGGGATCCTGACGTTAGACAACAAGTCCACTCCTCCACGTCACAGCTACACCGTCTGCAGTAATGAGCCTGTCCCGTTGGCGGACGTGAAAAATAAGGCTTGACTAAATTGCTCATGCTGATGCGATACATCACTGATGGGATAAAATTTGTTATTGAATTTAATTTTTTATGAGCATTCCATTTGAGTCTCGAGCATGTACGAAATAACTTTGTTGACTTGTATGTGAGGCCATAGATATAGTAGTGACTCACTACTATTGAGTAATCAGTATTCTCACATCTAGTAACTACATATGGCTCAAGTGCCGAGGCTCTCACGTGAAGCACGGTAGGTCACCAGCAACCTTAAACGTGGCATAAGATCCCTGCTGCAACATCGTGACAGTCTGGCTCTGTGGGAGAGCTCCACGCTGTGGGTTTCACACATTCTAGCAGCGATTCCGAGATATGCCTGCTGCTAGACAAGCAAGAGAATCGTCCTCAGTCCGAAGGTTTCATTCCGCTCATCAGTGACATCATGTCACTGACATGCGGTGTGTCCAATCAGACACACTATATCAAACCTCTCTACTGAGGCTCACAGAATAACAACGTGGCAGAAAGGCTTTCTAATGACGAATATTATCGGTTTTGGAATGGAGGCGGTTTTCGCCGGCCACCTACAACGCAAACAGCTTGAGAATTACCAGACTGGAGAGACTCCAGTGATTATCAGACTCTGTCAATGGAGTGTCTTGATGTAGCGTATTACCGTCTATACTTTACCACCTCATACGTCATTTTCCACACCGCAAACGCGGTCCATATGAGCTGAGCCAAACCAATAGATATCGTGATTAATGGACAACATGCTCGATCTGATCGAGCATGATCGACTATGATCGAGTCGATAATAGTTGACTCATAAGGATCGATCCGTATATTGAATTCGGGCCATCTACAACACATCAACATGAGGGATAATGGTCCCGATAAGTGAAGCGTGTGCGACCAGACGTACCGAATCTG